CCACAATTACAAACACAAAGATTACCATTTGAATTACCACTACCAAAATTACCATCACCCCTGCCACCATGATTGCTACCACCACTACCCTAACACTGTCCTGAATTCGCACTACCCTAACACGGTGTCAAATCCACATCCAAACTCCACGCTCTCTGGCTTCCAATCCACTCGCATAACCCAACTATATCAAACCCAAGACCCTCTTGGCCCATCCACCAGAAGTCCATGGGCTCGCACTACTCTCTTCCCTGTCAGGACCCAAGCCCAATCCCGCCACTTTCGCCACTCCCCGAAACTTCTTTCTCCAGCTGTGCAAGCTGTCCTCCAATCTCGTGGCCTTCAACACCCCTTCAAAGATTGGCACCACCTCCGCTTCTCCAAGCTCACTGCCTCCACCTTTGCATTTGCTGTTGGCTTTTGGCATCGACGCCGTGTCCAGCTGTGGCTCGAGAAGCTAGGGTTCATACCCCCCTTCTCAGGAAATCTTGCCACTTGCTGGTCTAACATTCAAGAACATGTTGCCCTCGAACGTTATCACCTTATCACTGGTAACCAGGTATTGTAATCCTCGAAAACTCTGAAAAATACCAGTGTTGTAACTTGTAGCAATTATAGCAGTCTCTGCCCGCAATGTTGTGTGGTTAAATGGTTGAGCTGTATAAAATGCCTTTGATGAAAAAATGATGGCCATTTTACTCATAAAAGAAAGGGTTTGTATTTAGTGATCTTTCACTACAGTAAAATGCATCATATGGTTTGTTTGTCATGGGAACAGATGGTTGAGGTGATGGTTTTCTGCCAGAGGACCTTGAGATGAGGAATCGTTCATGTCAATTGTCTCTTTTATAGAATGGACAGTTGATGCGGCATGCATAAAATGCATTGCATAGTTGTGCTTAGCATTTAATTACAGGCACATTTGGCCCCTCAGCCTTCTAGTTTCCTACCCACTGCTTTTAATCCTGCGCATCTGGAACATTGGTGGCAATACTGAACATAACGATTGCTTTGACCACAACAGCATTGGGCGGACTATTAGAATACTGAGTGACCAAAAATGCTCCCTTAGATGCATGGTTGTTTTCTTACAGGCTGATTGCCAGTATAATGGACGCCAAATTAAAAGATAACACCTATTATGCCGTTTTATCTGTTACTTTTGAAATAATGTATGTTAACCATTACTTTTGAATTTCCGTCTTTATGTCTTTATCCCTGTCATATCCTTAGGACCTTGACAACTGTTTATATTATTGTGGTTTAACTGATCTTTGAACCTTGAATCCAGGTCTCCTTTGTAGGCTTTGAGCGGGCCCATGACCCCTCTGAGCACTGGCTTGCTGCCTCTCCTGATGGGCTCGTGGGCCAGGTGGCCCAACTACCTGGTGGGGGCGTTCTTGAAATCAAGTGTCCTTTCTTCAGTGGCGAGCTTGAGCATGCAGGCCCATGGTTTCGGGTGCCCATGTACTATGTTCCTCAAGCTCAAGGGCTGTTGGAGATTGTAGATAGAGAATGGATGGATTTTTATGTTTGGACCCCAAATGGAAGCAGCTTGTTTAGGGTTTGGAGGGACAGAGAGTATTGGGCCTTGTTAAAGGGTGCTTTGGCTGACTTTTGGTGGAAGCATGTGATACCGGCCAGGGAGATGTGTGAGAAGGAGGGGAGTGCTGAGGATGTGAGGGCATTAAGGCCTGCCTCAAGGCACGAGTTGTGCGATCTGATTGTGGCAGCAAGCAGAAAGCTCTCGTGGGAGGCAAAGCTGCTGGTGAGGGAGATGCATGGGAAGTTGAGGTACTAGAGAGAGAGAGAGAGAGAGAGAGAGAGGTGATAGTAGAA